ACGAATTCGTCGTAAAATAATGTTCCACAATAAATACTCGCCCCGCTTGTGAAAAACTCATCTTACACTTTCGAATGCCGCTACTCAACTGGTGAGACCTAGCAGATGTCTCAAGGTCATACTGCTTGCACAACACCCGGCCAACAGTACAGTGTTGCCAATATTTACTTTTCCATGCTCTTCTGCGCGACTTTTGGATCACCCTGTATAATTAGTATAGACTTATCAGGTAAGCTTCCTGCTATAGTACTTTTATACCACTCATTTATTCTTCATATCTACTGTTCCAGCTACAGCTGGCAATAGTCACTATGTCTTACTGTCAACACGTGCATTAATAAGTTGCCTCTGACAGCTCATCAATTACTGGATCTATTGGAAGCTGTTCTTCCCTACTCTTCCTGTCGTTACATAGCAGCATATTGTACTTTCTCTTGAAAATTCTTCAGCACAACTTGACTACCTCTGTTTTCCTCCTCTTTCATGTATCTTTACATGCTGTAGACATTTTTTGCTATTTTTCCCTTTTCTTACCCTGTGACCACCTTCCATGCTACTCATGATCACACTTAATTAAATTAATTAAACAGAACTGATATTTTTTGAAAAGCACATGATGTTTACAGCAGTAAAGGAAGTCACAGACTGAATGGTTACTGTCCATTACTACCTGACCTATGTGTTCACATGCAAATTTGGCATTCTGCCATGGTTCTTGCTACTTTAAACAAGTTACAGTAATATACAAGTCATGACGCAGAAGTTGTTCTATTGAAACTATTCAATTTTATTTTCATGAAACTACAGGACCTTATTGCAGGTTATTTTTTGGACCCTTGTACACAACATTTTGCCATCTAGTGTCAATACTAAGAACTTTTCATATCAGCTGTGTTCCATGTCAAGATGTTTGCAGATATATTTTCTACGATGTTTGCACTAATTTCCTTTGTGAGAGCAAGAAACTGTTTACTGACAGCAAGCAAGCATGATATTAGCTTTTATAAAATACAGAGTACATGAAATTATATTTGAAGCCAAAATATATATTTTCTTTTTATTGTCTGAAATTATTATAGCCTTTCACAGATGGATATGAGTTTGTTTATAAATATTCTAAATGTGTATTTACATTTCAATAAGTGATTCTAATTATTCCTCTGGCCAATTTCAATTATTGTAGCTTCATGTTTGTATACTGAAGACCATTTAAGAGACACAGTTAGTTATATGTCACCTTTATAATTAGCATGGATTTGGTTCAATTGTAAGTTAATTTTTAATTTTTGTTAATTATTTTCATGCTACATGCCATCAGTATCACAACTGTCCTCCAAGTCACAGCCAGTAAATCATGTAAACCCCATGGTTAGTGGACATCCTATTATAAAACCAACCATTACACTACAGCGCCTCAACCTGCAAGATGTGCGATCAAATAGTCCATTGGAGCAAATAAGATCTCCACTACAGGAATTAGATGAAGGTATTGTATTTTATTGTTATCTATACTGTTTAACTAATAAACTCTCTGATACAGGATATTCCTTGTTGGATATTTAAATACTCTACAAATTCCCTGTCATTATGGAACCAGAAGGTTCATCATCACTACCTCAAAAGCATTCCTCAGTAGTCTGTCCAGAGTCAATACAATCAATTTCACTTTGTTTCCTCATAACGTGTTCCCAAAGATATGTTTAACACGTTGATGAGTACAAACATACCAGTACATTCAGCATCATGATGCTGCATTGAGCATGAATGTACCCACATTGTTCTGTAGAGTGTGAGTGTACAGCATATCTGTTATTCCAAGGACTGCTAGCTTCTGACATCTGTTGTGAACTGATTACACTATGTGCTCAGTTTTATCATTCTCTTGACGCTTTGAAGAAAGTGGCATAAGTTACAGGATTCTTCTTGTGGGAGGAAACTTACTGTTACAGTACTTTTAAGTCATTTAAAATATTGCTTGTTGAAGGGTAAATATTATCTTTCCATTTATTTGTTTCTCACATGTTCTCTTTTCATTAAGTTTACCAATTAAATACTTGTGTATATTCCCCATGTTCCCCAATATGAACTACATGTCCACCATAACTCTAATTGAATTGCCATAACAATACTGAGTGAATAGTGCAAACTATGATTCTCCTCAGAAGATGGCCATTGTCAGACTCACCATCATGAAAATTTCAAATCCTGCTGTGATTCTCCTTATTGAGTAGTTTTCTCTATTCTCCCATTCATCTTTCTTATGTCCCAGTATTCTTCTCTTTACTGTGTATGCTTTCATGTTGTGAGAAGGTAAGATTTAATCTACAAGATAGCACACATTTCATAGGTTTCTTATATTCTTAGTGTATTATGAATATAAATTTTGCCTCTTGTTTTGAATTTGTTCCTCAGTGTAAGTGGTACTCAAATATTTTTGTAATTTTTATATAAAATATTGTTGTACAACCTGTGTTTATAGAAATGGCACTGAGCACATTGATGTTATGTTGTAATTTAATGTTGCCCTACTGGGCATTTTAGAACTAGACTGCAGTAAACAGGAAATAAAAATACAGATGTTTTTATGTAAGAATTGATAATTTTTATATATTTACATGTGTATTTACAGAAACATTCATGTTAGTACATTTAGTTTAGATTTCTTGCAAGTGAGCATCATCTCACATGAGCAAAAGTCAAAGAAACCCTTCTATGTGCTCCTAATAATAATAATAATAATAATAATAAAAATTTATTTTTCATGTAGATCAAAATACATTGATATAGGATATGTCAATCTATATTATACATTATCAAAATACAATAATGATTATGATATAATCCCATTAGAGATATAGCATTATACACATTAGATTATTAGTAGCCAAAATTCGAAAATTCTTCATTAAGATAGTCTTCTAGTGAATAGTAACACCCCTTAATAAGAAAGTCCTTCAATTCCTTCTTAAACTGATTGTTATTTCTTATTTGTTTTATTAAAGTAGGCAGTTTGTTATAGAAGAAACAACCTGCTACTGACGGTTTACTATTATAAAGCTCCAACCTATGCACATATTTATGATAGTCATTATTATTTCTTGTGTTATATGTATGTACTTGTTTGTTTACAGTGCAGACACACTTTTATTTTGCATATAAAATGGTTTCTTGAATGTATAACGAGTATACTGTTAATATCTTTAAATGCCTAAAACTATCTCTGCACGATTCAATTGGTTTTAAACCTGCTGTGTACCTTACTGCCCTTTTTTGAAGAGTAAAAATTCGTCTAGTAAGTACTTTAGCACTCTGTCTCCATACGACGATTCCGTAAGACAAAAAGGGATAAATCAAACCATAATACAACATTCTTCTTTCATTTAGGCTAAGTATTTTAGAAAGTCTATTAATTATAAATAGGTTACGGCTAATTCTACTACACATTCTTTCAATATGTACTTCCCAACTCAGGGTGCAATCAATCACAACTCCCAGGAAGTTAGTACTTTTTACTTTAACAATTTCCCTGTTCTTTATTAAAATTGTTTGATTACTTTCCTCCCTACATTGTTTTGTCTGGAAAAAAATATAATGTGTTTTAGTTGGATTTATAAATAAATTATTTATCTCAAAATACTGCTTTACCAAGTCTATATTGTCTAAGGTTACCTTTTGGAGTTCATTCA